TGCTTAGCATGGAGATTCCAGATACTGGAGTTTTGCTTTTGGCATTCCCACTGGTTAGTTCATGTTATCAGTAAAGGACTGTTGTTGTTGTTGTTAAGTGCTGATTCCAACCCATAGGGACCCTGTATAGGGTGAAATCAGAGAATAGATAAAGCAAGGTGGTGGCTGTCTGTGTTAAAACAAAAAAATCATGTGAAGTCGATAATAGGAATAGATTGAAGTTTACTTAATATGTGATTTGTGAATCAGGGTAACATTTCAACTAGGGAATCAAAAACATTTGGAAGACCAGAGAATCTCCAAAGATCCCTGTACCCGATATTATCAATGTTGCCATGGAAACAAAACCAGAGCAGTGTTTGCATAATAACCAGTTACCCTGAAACACAGTTTCATTCTGACCTTCGTGTTTCTTCTGTCTTTGGAAACTGACTGCGCATAGAACATTCTCTAAAAGGGCTCAATGCCCACAGCAAAACCATCTTTACTTACTGTATCCAGACTGGTGTGACACAAACATGACTTTAGGACATTAGTTCTCTCCAGACTCAAGGTTCAGAAGATCTCAGAGTGAGGGCTATGGGGAGCCCATCACCATACCTCCATGGAGCCCAGAGATTTGGGTTCCAAGAAAATTAAACTCCGTTCCTCATAAGTAAGTGGAGAAGAAATAGTCTGTTGAGTTTTTTACTCACAGAAGAGAAAACATTTGCCCCTTTGAAATGCCAAGGGCATCCTTGAAATGAGTGGCTCTCTTCAGAGTTAGCCCTCATTTACTTCCTGAGCCCATCACATAACAGTATGTATGAGTGGTCAGGAGTCACACAGACTTTTGTGAAAGTGATCTTCTAATATTGCTTACTGTCTTTTAGTTTAATATCAGTACATTCCCAAAACCAAATTATACCAATATGCAAAATAATCGATTTTCAAAAGAAGGACTATGTATAGAACTATGGTTCTTGGTTTTTTTTGTCTTTTTATTTCGACTTCTGGTACTGTTTGCCTCCTTTTAGGTCCTTCTTTGTTTTAATCTGTTTGATTCTCTAGTCCTTAGCTTTATACTCATTACTAATGCTTTTTTTTTTTTTTTTT